CTTCAGGTTAACAAAGACTGTCAAAGAAGGTCAAAACGTTGTTCTTGTACTTTATTTTAATTAAAGTTTTTAATACCCATACCAGCCATCTCTGCTATACAAAATATTTTGGACTCACTAAAGAGAAGTTTTGTCTTACTATCCTGTTAACTATTATTTTAGGATATTACTTTTTATCTGGATACTAGAAAGGGTGTGGACTTGGTTTACATAAGATTTTCAAATGTCTTTTTATAAGGTATCAGACAATGTTAACTCAGAAAATCACATTAGGAAATAAAGACTAGGTAACAGGACAGTAGGGTAGATGGATGAGAGAAAGCAAAAATTTGCTATTAATGGAGTCCAGCCAAATCAGCACTTTCTTACTAATGGTGTGCCTCAGAAGTCAGTGCTTGAGCCCTTGCATTTTCTTACTTAAATAAATGATACTAATAAGGGGATGGATAAATTATTAAGGTTTACTTTTGACAATAAACTCTTGGTTATTTTTAATAGTAATTATGATGTTGACATTCTACAGAGTAACTTGGATCAATTTGCAAGATGGATAAATAATTGCCAAGTGGTCTTTAATTATATTGAGTGCAACTTATACATTTGGGTTATCATATCTGTATTACATAAATGGGAACCCATTCAACAGAGTGACTGAAGAAAAGGATAGTGGTATGGTGGTGAAAAGTCATTCAAGTCTTCAAGGTAGTGCTCTGTTGCTAGTACTAGTAGTAAAGCTTACAGAATTTTATGGTATATTTATAAACACCATTATTACAAGTCAAAAGAGATAATTCTTACATGCAAATCACTAACTAGACTTCACTTTGGTTATGGTGTATCAACCTTTTTTTTTTCTTTTTTACGTACAGCCTAGTTTGCCATTTGGCCCATCAGTATACCCAAAAAATCTGTTGGGCCAAAAACTTTATGCACAGAAATAGGTTTTATCATGATGTGTTAATCTGACAGAGTAATCCTATTATCTTAAGGGGTCATGATGTTCCGAGTCCATTTTAGGCAGGGATGACATTGATTGCACAAAACATATAAATGGTGCCCTTTCACTGTCCTGGCCCACTAATTATTCTAATTAAAAGAAGAAGAAAAAAAAAAGCCCACAGTGTGCAGTTTATATCTCCTTATCTAAGAGAGGATACTGAATTATTGGAAAAGGTTCAAATGTAAACTACCGATATGATGCCAGGGATGAAAGGGTTAATTAATTACATTTCTACATTAAAAGTGTTATCATTTATACCTGGTCTATCTTGTCAAATAATGCAACAATTTAGGAAAAAAAATCCAATACATGGATTGATCATTGATGAACAAGGTTAGCCATATTTTGAATGTTACTAAAGAAAAAACTGTTCTAATGGAAAAATTGAATATAGGAAAAAATTCACAATTTGAAAATTTATGTTTATAACTTTTTAAATTCATAGTAGTTAAATTATTGAATTATTCCATTCATTCATGTGATGATTGACCTCGTAGATGCCTGAAAAGTGCACTTGACTCAGCATTATTTATAAATATACTTGTCAAGTTAATAGACTGTTTATCACTGAATATACATGATGTTATGTAAGTTGTGTTATTAATGTGTATGTAATGTACTTTTCATATAATGTAATATACCATGTATCATGCTATTATTGCAATAACTTTAAAATGTTTTTGTTGTATTATTCCACATTGTGTTTATATATTTAAAAATTTGTGATTTTTTTCCCGTGGCTTTATTTCCAGCCACTAAAAATTGGTTTGTTTGTATTTAAGCGCTAAGCTACACAATGGGCTATCTGTGCTCTGCTCACCACGGGTATTGAAACCCGGTTTCTAGCATTGTAAGTCTGCAGACTTACCACTGTGTCACGAGGAGGCGTCACTGAAAAATTAGTATCTATAAAGTAACATGTGAATGTGAAAACATTTATATACGACAAACTATAAGAAATTTAAAATACTGATTAAATGAGCACAAAAGATACATTAAAAATAATACAAATGTCACCTTTAGCTGAACAGACTAGTGAAACTAAACACATGATTCAATGGGAAAAAACCTTATTTAACAAAACCTACAAGTATTAATGGAAACAATATCCATGAAGCTATTGAAATAATTAAATATAATTAAAAAAAACATTTCAGTATGTTAAATAAGAATAAAGGTTTAGAGGAAGTTTTGTCAGTAGACAGCAAGAATTTCTTAGTTAAATAAGTGTGTAAATTTGGCTTTGATCATATGATAATTTACTTTAGGCCTCCACTTTTGTAAAATATTGCACTCCTGATGATGACACAGTAATATGTCAAATTATGTAATGTATGATATTGCTGGTAGTCTCAAGTTTTTATCTTTATACAACAGACTGAGTAAATGTTTCATTGTATTTTGAGTGCACTAATCTGTGGATACAAGTTTCAACACTGAAAAATATGAAGTGAAGCATTTAGAATATGAAAATTTGGAAAACCTTATTTTGTATGTGTGTGAGAGAGAGAAAAACTGTATTGGGAAGAGTGAGAAAGATATGATTGTAATGATTCATAAAATATTCAAGCTTTCAGTTAAATATTTGGAAGTACTGCTACTAACTAATGCTAACTAAAAAGAGGTTTAACTTTAACAAACATCTGAAATTAACTGATCACCAATTCTACAAATTCTTTGCCCTCTCTCAATGTTGGCAAGTTGCAAATAATATTAATAACATTAAATAAGTTTTTTACTTATACATACAAAATGCTTATTTCATCACAGTTGTTATGTATAGTACAATTTACGAGTATCATTATCATACTAATATTTACTTGTTTCTATAATTCTAGGTTATAAATCAATTCCCTCTATTAAAATTACAACATTAAATTTCAAACTCTAGCCAATTTATATTGCATAATTTGTTATTATGATGATAAATTTAACGACACAGATGGAGGACGAACAATACATTTTTGAACAGAGTGAAGAAACTGTCAAACGATAAATTTCAAATTGAAGAGTTTTGTCAAACAGTAACATTTAGTGATTTAGAAGCCCTACATCTCGGTTTAAATTAGTAGTTGTAAGATTCTATGAATATGTTTTACTTTTTAGTTAGTTACTGAGTTAGGATGACCAATAAAATTAAAGTATCCCTTATTCAAAGTTAATGTTTGTAACAAATTAAATTATCCTCTACTATACCATAATTAAGTCTTAACCTTATTACAACGAAATTTAAATATGTGGAAGTGAAGTTTAAATTAACGTAATACTGATACTGGTAATAATCACTAATATTAATAATAGTATTAGTACTACTATTACTAACTTTGGTTCTCTAGCCTAATGCTTAGTTACACTATGGTATTAAGTCTTAAGAATGTCACTAATTACCTCTCGTTTGAATAATGGATGCTTAAGTAAAAGTTACAAATAAAAATCTCACCTTCCCCTAAAAATGCCGTACAGACAGAAATTATAAGTATTAATACAGAATCGACCCACATATCACTCTCGTTTTACCTGCCTGTATCTGTAATTACTCCTAAGCCTATTTTTCAGTCAACGTTAAGCTTTTTTTTTTCAACTTAAACATTTGTATTATTTCGCCAGAGGGAGAGTTCATGTCACAATATAAACATGTGGCTTAACATCCGAACTTTTCTTCATAGCTTTGGAAAGTATTTGAAAATTTTAGATATACCCAACTTACGTCTTTATCAAGGGTTAGGTATCTACTGTAGATATTAACCCTTGATAAAGACGTAACTCGAAACGTTGGGGTTATTAAAAGTTTAATTTTCTGGAGTTTGTGATCGTATTTATTTCAACACTGATGTCTAGCCTCCAGTATGCACTTGGACATCGGGATTTTTATAATAATTAATTGAGAGAATAAAAGCGTCGCTTAGGCAAGAGTAAATTGTTGAGCTAATTTTTTAATACTTATAGGATTTTTTAGTCTTTTAAACTCACCATGTAGTAACCTAAATTAATCTAGATGTATAAGTAATATTATTGCATTGAGCCTAATTTACAAACCCTATATCGCCCCCCAGTGGCACAGCGAAATGTCTGCGGACTTACAACGCTAGAAACCGGGTTTCGATACCCGGGGTGGGCAGAGCACAGATAGCCCATTGTGTAGCTTTGTGCTTAACTACAAACAAACAAATCAATAAGCGGGATGCAGTTTCTTTCTTTATGTATTAATTTTTGATTTAAAAAAAAACTGTTTCTCCAGGTACAGAATGCTAGAAAAAATCTACTTGCCTCCTCACTGTCCCACATAGTACAGACACAAATCAAAGATAACTTCTAAGATTTTTCTTTTATTATACAAGGAACAACTGTAGAAACTACTGTGCGCAATCCATTATGTACAGATTTAATGGTAGTAATAATAACACAATCCATTCTGTACAGATTTGATGGTAATAATAATAACACAATCCATTCTGTACAGATTTAATGGTAATAATAATAACACAATCCATTCTGTACAGATTTAAACAGTAATAATAACACAATCCAATCTGTACAGATTTAAATAGTAATAATAACACAATCCATTCTGTACAGATTTAAGCAGTAATAATAACACAATCCATTCTGTACAAATTTAAATAGTAATAATAACTTGGTAAAGAACGAAAATAACCGCATACAAAAAGCCCACAAAATATCTATTTGTAGAGCACTCGACCAAAAAAGTCTTCATCAGAAGACAATGAACACAATTAATTAGTGATAACAAATAAAGAAAATCATAATTCAGTCCAAACACGCTTACCAAAACTGAGCATGTGTATTTTTGTTTATTACACACGATAAAACAAAAAGAATACATTTTATTTGCTCACGTTTCGCCTATATTTACATACAATGTCATCGCACTTTTCAATTTTAGGGCAAATTGGTTTCTTTACGATAGCTATATATATACATGTCAAACTAGTTATTTAGATCATTTACTTAAGAAATAAAATTGGTAATATATTCCTTCTCGATTTCGAACAGCTCTTTTTTTTTTTTTTCTATTCTTACTCCCGTTTCATTTGTGCAATTTTATGGGCTGGAATATATTTAGACGCCGCATTATCAATTCTTGCCTGATTCCTTACACGTTTATTGAATGTGTAAAAACTGTACGTATAATTTTTATATTACTTTCCGAGCTACTTATGTACAGGGTTTATTTCCAAAACTGATGTGAAGTGTTTTGATGGTTGATACTTAATATATATTCAGAATTATGCGTTATATAATTTTACTAAAGTGCAAATAAAAAACCAAAAATAGCACTGTATTTCTAAAAAAAACAGATGTAACAATACCTACTGGTTCAAATTAGGAAGTATTTTTAATGTAATGGAACGAGAAAAAC